CGACCCATAATGCCAGATACGGCGCTTGACCACTGCTGGACGCGGAGGCTTGGCCTGTGGTGCTTTGGCAGATATCAGGCAGTGGTCTGACGAGCCCAGGGGTCTCAACATCGCCGGTGTGAGACCTGTAGAGGCACACGTAAACTCTGGCCGGGGGGCCAGAGTCGACGTGTACCCCCAGCATGGAGAAGGAGGGATCTTCCAAGCAGTGGAGACGGCGACAACAAACATCCGCCCGAACATACAGGCATACACCGGCTTTCGCTTTGAAGGACTCTTCAAGCACGTAGCCGGGATAATTAAGGTAGCCTGTGTCAGCAGGCGGAAGTATTTGTGTCTCCGTCAGGAACAACAATACTGGCCGTGCTGTCTCAAGATGGTGGTGGACAATGTTGAGGTTAGAGTGGAGTCCGCGTATGTTGCAGAACTCGACCTCAAACAGCGTTGAAGGCGTGGGGGTGTGCACCGCTGTACGTCCAAACTTTGTTTTAGGAGCTGCCATTATGGAAGTGAAAAAGAGACGTGAAACGAGTGGACGTTGTCGCGACAAGACCGGGCAAATTAGGGAGGCATGTTTCCCCGAATGATTGCCTGCAGAGGATATACGCCGACCCGCCGGACGGAAGGGCCCCCGCACCCCCCCGGGAGTGGCCGCCGGGACCCCACGCCCCGGTCACCAACCGGCACGACGGTCCATCCCGAGATTATGCGTGACATGATGGGCAGCCTCGCGAACTGGTTAGGAACGCTCGGGCCCCTGTACTGTGCCACGGGCGGCCAGCGGGACAGCCGTTTCTACGGGTCTCCCTGACCGGCGGGTCGATGCAGTCCTCCCGGCATCGGTTCCACGGATGCCTAGCCCTGGACCGAATCCGTCGCGACAACCTCCACTCGAGCCCTGGTTGTACGCTGGCTGATCCCGAAACGCGCGAGAAGCACTTCACGGGTTTTTCACCATGCGCACGGTGGTAACAAACTAGGCGGGTGTTAGGCACCCTACCACCAGCAGAGCGGATAGAAGCTCCGATATCCCTTAGTCGCCTCTTACGACACCCACGGGAAGAGAAGGGGCGGTGAGTTATATTCTTTCTCCGTCACCGCACGGACAAAATGATGCAGACATCCAATCTTTAAGGGATGTGATGGTGGAGGGAGTGAATGCAACCCTGGAAGCTGTTTCCCTCTGGGTTTGGTTGGTTGGTGGGTTGGTTGGGTTCAATCCCTCTAAAACACAAGCCTGTCTCTTCTCGGCGAAACGGAGTCCATTCCATCTGACTCCGACTTTCCGAAATATCTCCGTGCCGATTACAGACCATCTCGAGCTCTTAGGTCTGGACATCTCATTCAGCCTCAATTTCGGTGGCTACATCGAGTCCATTGCTAGAACCGCTGCCAAAAAACTTGGAACACTTTCAAAGATCAGGCGATATTTTCCATCTGAGTAGCTCCTTAACCTTTACTGAGCCCAAGTTCGCTCCTGCTTGGAGTCCTGTTGTCACCTTTGCTCGGTATCAGCTGGATGCACTGGACTCGGTGGAACACTGTGCGAAGAGACTCATAGGCAATGACGCTCTCGTTGAGGCTAATCTCCAGAGCCTTGACCACCGAAGACGTGTAACTTGCCTCTCGGTGTTTTATCGGTTACATTTCGGGGTGTGTGCGGAGGTACTACACTATTTGATTCCCCCTTCCCCTTTCCACCACCGAACGACCAGGCGCGGCGAGGGCTTTCACCCTTATGTTGTCCAAGTTCCTCCCATTCGCACGAAGCGATTTACTTCCGCTTTCATTATGCGAACGACTAGGGAGTGGAACTTCTCTCGGACCAATATAATCTGGAAATCTTCAAAGCCAGAGTGAACAGGCATCTTCTAGGCAGGCGTGTACCTAGGCCTCATCATTGCTTTCCATCAGGCGAGAGTTTGCTCAAACGCCTTGCCTATTAAACATAAAAAAGGGCACACCATGATGGAGGTGGACAGTGTTCACTCCACTACTGAGCAATACATAAAACCACTATTGTCATTGCAATGATAAATATTAAAAACAAATGACTTGTTTAATTAAAAGTCTTGTGTTTTCAATCTCAATCCCTTTTACATACTTATATTCTCTAATGTGATACAAAACGCGCAACCAAAACCTCTTATGTGTCACATTGAATTGTTTTTTTATTTTTTTACTACAATTTCCTTTTTTATTTAAAATGACAAGAGCAAAATAAAAATCATAAAACCCTCTAGTTATCACTTGTATTTTTTGTTATATTTAGTTTTCTTATATTTTTTTCAGTAGACAGTTTTTATTGAATATCTCGCAATGAAGAATTTTACACATGGGAGGTCTTAAAGTCGCAACGATGCTATAGCGTCCCACTGCTGGGCGAATGCCTCCCCTTCCACTTTTAATACGCATATAGGTAAATAAAATTACAGGAAAACTCTGGATAACACTAGACTGGCTTTTATACTTATTCTTACGAGTTTACAAGAAAAAATAGTCGAACGATTAACTTTATTGTACTCGAACATTACACAAAATAAACAAATTACACTAAAATATTAATTTCGCTCAAAATTTGGTCAAAATATAATGTATTGGACTAAGAGTGGCGATAATACCAAGGTCTAAGTCTAAAATTGCCCTCATGGACATTGGCACCTCCATGTTCTTTGGTGGCCAAGCCTACGTGGTGCTTTCACGAGTAACCAATCTTCATGGGGTGCACCTCATAAATGTTGACTTCATGAGTATAAAAACTCAAGCTTCAGCGATCACCGAATACAACCGGCTTATGCGTAAATACCGCGCCGATCTTTCAGAAAATAAACCGTCTAAAAGAATAAATAAAGCGAATAGGCAATACGAAAAACTGTTGCTACTTTTCAAGAATCAGAACCGGAAAAAAAGAAAATAAATATTTGTAATAATAAAAAGACTACTCCTAAAAAGAAAAAAAATGTGTCAAATAAGAAAATCTAATAAAATAAATTAATATGCCGTTTCTACAAAAAGAAGTGAAATCCCACCAAAAACATTCTGTAAAAAACTAGCCCAGTCTCGATGGAGCTGCTTGTTTATCTCTAAAAAAGTAATGAAATCTAGACAAAGTCGTGCCAAGTCTAAGGTTCCTTACTGCGATTTCTTTATTATTATAGTTAATGTTGTGTGACTTGGCCGTTAGAGGGTACACAAGGGTACAAAACCAGGTGCTGTATGACACCATCGCACTGGGTGCATTCATACATGCAACATTACGTGTAAACCCAACTTTATCAAGCCTACAATTGACTGGTTATTCAATCAACGTTTTCCAAGTGGCAATTTACCATCGTTAATGGGTAGCGATTCTGGCGACAGATTGGTGCAATGGTGTCATGTAGCACCTGGTTTTGTACCCTTGTGTACCCTTCAACGGCCAAGTCACACAACATTAACTATAATAATAAAGAAATCGCAGTAAGGAACCTTAGACTTGTCACGACTTTGTCTAGATTTTATTACTTTTTAGAGATAAACAAGTAGCTCAATCGAGTCTTGGTTAGTTTTTTACAGAATGTTTTTGGTGGGTTATATCATTCTATCCACATTAAAAAATTCTGCTTTGTATAGTAAACTAATGAGCGTGCATGCTTTTCAGATACTTACATAGGTACATTATATACAGTTATTTTAGATGATATTTTGAGTTTATTTTACAATAAAACCTTGATTGTTCAGATACTTACTTCTTATTTATACAGAGCTAAGAATAACATCACAATGAGTGAACAGAATAACACCCGATACAAAGGAAAATGCTACGCCCACACTCACATTCGAGGTATAATATCTTTAGGCTTAACGTTTACCAACGCTTGTGCTTTTCTTCTGAATAAAGCCTTAACTCTCGACCCAACGTGTGAGCTCCATGAGGGTTTAAGTAAATAAATATATATTTATTTCGAAACCCCGGCGCCCGCAGAACAGTCAACGTCAAATCTTAGTGAGGTGAGCAGTTTAACAGTAAAATGGACGATGAAAAATTATTAGAATGTGTGCAAATTATCCTTCTGCTTCTCGCTTTCTCTAGGTTGGATGTACACCCCATTTTCTTTTATTAGTTTCGCTTCGTTTTTCCAATACTTCGTCATCATCATCATCAGTCATCATCAGCCTATTATAATATCAGCCTAATAGGCTGATGATGAATACTTCGTAATCGATGGCAATTGCAATAGCTGCCTTGAATTGTTGTGAAAATTGCATATTTACTTATTAGTCACGTCTATCGACACAAAACACTTATCACACACACGGCCGTGCAAAGAATACAAACAAACAGCTCGGTGTAGCATGAATGACTGACCTGGCAGGCGCACGGTGAACGTGCTACCGGGTGGAGCCCGGCCCGGTCGCGACACGGTGTACCGTGAATCATCCTAACTCCTAAACAAATAATGAATAAAAAGAATGAGGCTATCTGATAAGTAAACCCTTGGCGTGGAAGGTATCGAAAAGCCAAAGGAGTGTTACTACAAATTTACATTATAATATCCTTTTTGGATGATATTTTTGTTATTAGGCCGTTGGTTGTTTTAATGTTGCCAATAAGTTAATTGTTTCAGAATCTTTAATAGACGATTTAATAGAGAATAAAACATGGGTGTAGCTAAAATCTTTTATGCAACTGTTGATAATTAGGTATTAAAATACTCGTGACATACTATTATCAAATAATGTTATAAGTGTGTTGATACCCCTCAATTTACAACAGTTGCATAAATAACTGTTAAAAGGAGCACCAAGAGCATGCTTGTGCGCCAGTTATATAAATATTTCATTCGTATACCATCGGGTACAAGTCGATTTAAAGGTGTGACGAGCGAAGGTTAAAGAGTTTCAAAGAACTGTGAGAATAGAAACGCTAATTCCAGCATGCTATTTACTTAGCCATGTTGATCATAGTCTAAATGATACAGATATGTAAAGATTTATAGGTGAAATAAAAATGAAAAAAATAGTGCGCACACTTTTTATTAAAAATCTTATTTATCACAATATTGTAACTAAATTAATAATAACAACATCATAATATTTAATGCTAAATTAACAGTCAACATAAGCACCGATATGTTTAAAACATTGCACAATATAATACCTAGAGTATTTGTAAGAGAGATTCTTTTAGATGTTTTTCTATGATGATGACAAAAGATCTTCAATAATATTTACAATATCCCGAATTTTTCTGGAAGAATTCCTTTTCGTTTTATAGATATGAAATTCTGATATGAGGAAAACCAGATAAACTATGAACATAATACTTAATAGCCTATTATTATTAATGATAATGTCATTTTCTTTAACAATAAAAAAACATTGTATTTGACTCTAGATATTTCATGGCACGTCATTTTCTCATAATTAATTAAGTATCAATAAAACTTTAATTTCCTTATTTAATATGTGAAAAGGTTAAAATCTTAAAAGAAAAAGATTAATGATAAGATTTGATTTGAGAAAAGATGTCTCATCCTATATCCCTATTGTCTTGAAGACAAGGAGGAATTTTCCTGTACCTTTTAGTCAAAAAATAAGTTCTTTTTGCTTAGTTTTTTATACACAAACATTTTTCTATTTCCCTTTTGTTCCGAGTTCTAAGTTCGTAAGCTATTTAATTTTGTATTAGGTACGAATGCTAATTTTTAATTCGAAATGCCGACTTGATAATATACGACCAAAGGTTACAAAAACACTAATCAACTAAAATTAATGACCAAGTAATAATAAAGTGTTTCAAGAATTCATAATAAGAAAGATAATTCAACGTAGTAAAACATTAATTACATTATATCCATTATATTTACATTGTTTTACTACGATACAGATATTTAATACATAATTATAGTATAATTTATCAATATACTTGGAAGTTTTAACACAATAGTACATTTAGTGCATCGTAGAATGTAGTGTTTCGATTATATATAAATATACATCGTTTTATTTCTTTTAAATAATAATAATATAAACAATTAAATATTTGCAGTAATAGCTCTAGTGTTAGATATGTAATATTGAAATGTAGTAGGTACTATATTTATTTTAGACTAAACAAAAATACTAACATTAACGACTTTTATTTATTGTAAATTAAATACAACACTGAAAACAAATTTACAAAGTGCACAGTGCCGAGTAAAAGATATTATGTCTGATATGTCGGAGTTCTTTTGAAATTTATTTGATTATTCCATATTCTATTACAAGGTACTAATTAAAATTTAATGTACACAGTACAACAATTTCAAGGATTTCAATCGTGTCACCACTTTAGAGAAATAATATGTGTAAATACCAAAAAATAATTGTAGGGAACTGGGAACGTAAATGATCGTTGCAGTGAATTATTTTGTTTTAATATACTTAACGTACAATTTAACATGATGACAGCAACATTATATTCTTTGCTCGTAGTTCTAAAGAAATATAAGGCTTGATTTTCACTGTGCGTGAATACAGCGAACGGGCGAGCCTGGCGCGGCACTATCGATAAATTTTATCTTTGAAATTACGTATTGTAAGGCTGATAATTCCGTTAAATAAGTCAAATGTAACATTTACGGCCATGCTTTTTTCATATGTTGATTGTTAATGTTTATTTTTAAACTTTAAACTTTATGTTAGCCTTATAGTTCGAACAAATCGTAAGGAATGTAGCTTTCTCTCTTTTAAAGTTGTTATATCCATTCTACTTTTACTAAATTAATGTTTATTTCCATAAAGTTGGATACGGCATGACATGCTGACGATACATCGATTGTCAAGTTTAAATTCTTGGGAGGAGAATCGACTCCGTCCGTAGTAAACGCCCGTGCAAATCATCGAATTTCCAATATCGCGAACCATGGTAAACCAATGTAACAGACATCATTCATAGCATCATACTCGTCAGATTCCGTGTCTATTATTTAATAGCGCCTTGAACGATAAACTCGGTGTTTCAGTAGCTTTTATTTCTTTCTGTATGAGTGGTGTTAGAACTAAAATGTGAAGAATGATAACAATCACCATAAAAAGCAGAAAGTGATATGTTCCACCATCTGCCAGATTTGGCAATGGTAAATTCTTGGCTTGCCTATAATATTTTGGGGAAAAATGTGCAACTTGGGCACTCATCGGCAAGTAGTCGCCCATACAAGCGGCTACCTATTCGCTTTCGCCGTCTCTTCTTTACAACATATTTTTCAATCCCAAGAACCCGCGCTATTTTTAGAAAAGTTTAAATTTCCTTCATAATTTTAAAACATTGTCTTATTTTAACACAGTAATCAGAAAATCTTGCTCTTATGACGCGACACGGCACAACTTTTTTCCACCGTTCGTTTTGTGCTTAATGTTCAATGTTTTTCGTGGTGTACAATAAAGAGTTTTTGTATTGTACAGCATACAACGGATTTTAACATTAGGTGTGGTAACACGGTCGAGATCTCAATGGTAGACAATCACATTAAATTATACATAATTTACAATGACACATGGTCCTTACACATTATTAATATGGCCGTGGACGGTCTAGGCTTGAGTAACATTTCGAATATTACATGCTTTTACTTTAATATTTCCTTTTTTAATCAATATCCTGACTTTGGTCAACAAACCAATCGAACATTATATCTGCGAAAAAAGCAAGTTAGACGTATAAAATTTTCAAAATGAATAAATGATTTTGATAGATCAGCTACATTTGTGTAATTTTATAACTGGAAACACAAACATTCTATAGGACTTTGTTATGAAAAGGAAATCTTAAGTTATGATAAGAAACTTTGAGTGTGTAAGTGAAGTCAATTCATGACCGACGAAATAAGGCACGAGTACTTAAAATATTTTTCTAACTAAAATGCAAATTAATCAATTAAAATAAATTCATAATGAAGTACTTAATGAAAACATTCATTTTACGTTTTGATTAAATACTTGATAAGATTAATAATGACGTTGTTATTGTTTACTAGCACAAAATAAATTAGGATATTTACGATCCAAAACAAAATCAGTGTCAAACTAATCCGTCCTCTAATTAAGTTCAAATTCATGTTTTTGAGCGCAATACTTAATTATTTTAAAACGGCATCAAAGATTCGTGTGGACTCTTAATACATTTATTGATTGATAACAAAGAAACAAAATAAACAATATCAAAAGGAATAAATACAAAACGGTTCTATGGAACCTACATGGTTTTGCAACACATGTATATTTTAGATAAATCTTAATAAAAAGCAAAAATGTTATCAGCACGAGAAATGAGATTCATAACTATTAACTGGTGGTCTTTAACTGTATAATTAATATTCAAGTCATAAAAAAAATAGTGTGGAAGAGAAAGTAAAGATATCCCAATGCCTCTTCACGTGCTTGCTGCTTTCCATTATTTTCACAAAGCTAATAAATCTCGTGGACAAGTAAGTATAACGTCAATCGCGCCCTATTATTGCTTGTTCCCGATTCTTGTTACCAAGCCTTCAAGCCGTCCGTCACCTAAATAGGTCACCTCACATCCCCGACTCCGAGTAAGATCACCATCGTTGTCAACAACAGGCTCCGGTAACTCGTGTTTGTTTTCACACCGCTTTGTAGCTCGGCGAGACTTGAACCTAGGAAAGGAATCAAGATTAGAATTCATTTTTAACGATTTATTTGTGCAAGTGGCCACCTATTGGCCTTAATTATGGAAATTTAAAAACTTTAAATTAATTTGCCGAATATTGACACATACTACGTGTAAATTTACAGGTCAAATTTTGCGAGAGAATGTCAAGGCAATTTATTATATCACAAAGAATATGATAAGAATAAAGATAAGATTGAGGAAATATATTGTACCACACTATAAATTGATCTCATTTCACAACGATACTGTGTGTGCGATTCCGATTCGCATAGGGTTTTTATGAAAAAAAGAAATTGTTTAGTAAATATATAACAGTTATTTAAACACACAATAGAATATAAGGTATGATTATATAACCCCGATTGGCAGTAAAATATTATTTTAACCTGTATCACCATAGCGTAAATTGGTAAATACTGATTTATAATCTAAATTTAGGATTCAAAATTAATTCATATGTTATTACTTATTACAAATCAAACTAATCTGGGTCTGATATTACAAGATACTTTTAAATTAAAATTTAATTGTAATAAAGTCAAATAAGGTAATATTACAAAATAAACTAGCATTACAAAAAAGTATTTCAGCAAACTTATCAATCTAGAATTTGCCAGAATTGTCTGTCTGTTGGTCGCAACAAAAAGTAATAGGCTGAACAACAGAATTCCAAATTATCTTGCAAGCTCCAGCAATTTCACAAGGTCGTTATTATACTTTCAATCTTGAATCTACACCCTCCTCGGCTTGAACTGCTTCTCTGGATAATTTGCTGAGTTAATCGTTTATAAGGCTTTGTTGCCAAGTTTAAGTTCGCCAATAACAATGTTGGCAATGGATAAACTGTAAGGAAAACTCAAGAACCAAAATACATTGCTGAAAATTTCAGCTTGTCTACGAAGTCTTCTGGAACTTTCATAATTTTGTCACTTTGTTAGTGCAATATAACTTTTTGGAAGGACAATGAAATCTTAAAGAGGTTAAGAGACTTTTACATTAACTAATTATAAACTTCGTGAACTCTGATTTTCATTGTCACGCTATAATCTAACTATCGACTCAGAACAATGAAGAGTAAAGAAATAGTTTATGTTGATTAGTGAAATAAAACTAAAAAAAAAGTAGAAATGATCTAGATGGTTTATCCGCTCACATGAAAGCATAGGGAAGTATTGTCTATGTCAGAGAAGATGGTAACCAAAAACTGTATCTTGATGAAAAGTTCAATGTCGTAGTTCATTTGGTTTACGATCGTGGATATTTAGCAGCATAGGTAACCAAAAACTCCATATCTGATCAAGATATTAATTGTTTCCTTCTTCAGAAAACACGTTAACCATTAGTCCCAGCTGTAACAAGCTGTAAGCTGTGCAATCATTAGCATCTACCTATCCGCACTGAACTGGGCCCGCGATATAGGACATTGTGCCTATTCTATCCATAGGGAAGAATTATGCCCCATCAGTGGGGACATTAATAGCCTTACAGTCCGTGGTAGTAATTTAGGTATATTTGTTTATTATATCTACTCAAGTAAACACTAAAATTTTAACTACGTAAAAGTAACTATTACGGTTTATGAGATAGGTGTAACCCTCTGCCAGACGAATGGACCTCGGAGTCTTTGTAATAGTGTTCCCTGGATACCCTTTCGATATGGAACCCGAAACATGATTATTTTTGTAGTTCATCGCATATATATAGAATAGATATGAAACCAGTAACGGTATTTTTTTTAAATGAAATGAAATGATTTATTAAAGCTATGATTCTAATCAATTTAGTTTTCAAAGTTCAAAATAATATATACTCAAAGGGTCATTAGTTTTGGTCCATAATTACAATTCTTATTATTACGTATTATGTGATCAACTAACCTACCTATACAGACAACAATGTGCGCAGATTACATTGTAACGTATAAAAACATCAAAGCATTATCTCTTCAGGTGTGATCAAAGACGATTGATCAAAGACAAATTGATAGGCTTACATGTTAGTTCAACATGTTGTGTCGGGAATTTCTAATGCGAATTTAGTATAATCCCAAAACTTATAGCTTTCAGCTTCAAGTTTTAGAAAGATAATCTAGACAAGATTTAAAGATATAAAAAAAACAAACTGTATAGCTATATAGTATAACTGTACAATTTTTCTTTAACCATAGACATTTTTCTCTTAGCTTTACAAGAGATTTTTTTCTATAACAATTATTGCGAAAATAAAATGAAAAAATCAAGTTGGAGTAAAATACGATTATATTGACAGCTTACTGCTACAGCTCAGTTTACCCTTTAGCTATAAATTATTGACTGGAACCAAATTTCTCGAATAATATATTCAGGATTCTCAAAAGAAGATAGCAAGTCAATCCATGGTTGAGATGGAATTTGTTCTCTGAGTACTCTGATTGACTTTTTATCTTTTCCTTTTACAATACTTATCACTGTAACACGTTACAAGAGATCAAAGTCAGAAATATGAATAAGCAGTATGATTTAGTCTACCTCAAGCTGATTTAACGCTTTAAATAAAACATAATAGTTTTATGCAAGCAAAGCTTCTGCAATTCCTAGCAAATAAAATACAAAACCTATAAATTTCATAAGACGAAGAATGCAAAATTCCTGTTGACGACAATAATATACTGGACAATGGTTACCTTGCAAAACGTGAACTCTTGCTGTCATTTTCATTTGCAGGGGCGCTTCCAGAGCGCAAGTATAGTTGCCGGCGTCTTCTGTTTTCAGTCTGGCCACCTGCGATACATTCAGTAGTTTAGTATAAACAAATGCAGAAGCACTAAGCTGGAAGAAATACGCTAAAAGGTTCAGAGTTGTTCCGAAATTGCAGCACTAGTGTTTCCTGAATCAGAAATGGTTATACTTTCAAACGAAGTATCACAGTTATAAGCTTGCTTTTAACACTCTCAGTGTAATTTTGAGGAATTGAGCAATTTCATGTTTTTTTGTTTTAATAAAAAAGGGGTGATAAACAAGTAAATGGCAAGTCTAGTGGTAAGCGCGAAATAAAGGTTACAGACATTTTTAAATGCAATTAATATAAAAAATATTGATGTCCACTTGCACCAAATTTTAATGAAATCCTTAACATAATAATTTTAAAACCTTTGAAAAATATTTTATTTAATTTAACTCTGTTTGACTATAAACAATTGGCAAAGAGATATCAATTTAGATTTAGTTTAAATTTAACCTTCGTCCATAGAAGTTCCAATCGTTCATAGAAGTCATCCTTATTAATGACAGTTAAAACAATATATAAAAAGGATTAAGACTATACAAAACCTACATAATTAAAAATTATCTCAGCAATGATAAAGAACCATTAATTCAAAGTAAATTCTGGAATATTAAGAATCACCTCAGTAATGACACAGAACCGATTCAAGGTAAATTCTGGAATTTTCATAAGAATGGTAACTATTTAAGGCAAATAACTCAGTTTGTTTAGGACAAAGGCAAGAATCGTCTATTTGAAGAAAAGAAATGTAAGCATTCGGAAGGCATCTCGTATATAACTTTATGTAGGTCAAGCGTTTCAAATTTTTCCCTTTATTGTCTGGAGTCCAAATTTACCCAATTTAGCCGCTTAAAAGCTCCTATGAATATAAAATGAAGATACTTGTTCGGGTTTTTAAATGCAACATTTTAATACAATACTTTGGTTTAAAATCTAAAGGTACTGCATTGCGCCAAAAGTCAACGACGTAAGATTAGATATAAAAACTTCTATAAAAGCCTTTCGATATATCTAGTTACCTTAAGGCTGTCTAAAGAACAAAGTAAAACTTTTGTGATATTTTATAATCTTTATGATTTTGGCAGTCTCTTATAACCTTATGTTCCAGACAGATTTTGAAATTTAGTAGTTTATTTTAAAAATCCATGTTTTCGTCTTAGACTATACAATAGTTCATTTACTATTTAGATTGATGATTTTAAATATTTAGTTCAGTTGTATTGAATTTTATATCATCAGTTTAGTTGAATGAAAGATCTAAATGGCTATAATATTAGTAACCTATTCCACTAATAGTGAGCTCTTATAGTAAAATTGTGGCACAGCTGTCAGCGCCCTTACCCAAGGACAATTTAATATAATTTTAGGTCTAAATGGAGAACTATCAACATAAAACTAAACCAAAACCCTAAAATATATAATATTGTAATGTCGCATCTTTAGTTTTATCTTATATACGATAGGTATCACTTTTATTGCCCACTACATAAATAATTTTGAGAGAGTTGCAGAGTACCTATTTGAATCTACGAAAATCCAGCAAGTATTTCAAGTGAAATTCTATGAAATATTACAAACCATTAAACGGTATACTAAATGTCAGTCTGTAATATTTGTTAAACATTATTTATATCTCGTATTACCCTTACAGAAAAGGAGGGAGTATTTAAGTCGCCACTTACGTTTTCCGCAAATATATTATGGCAATTTAGACGAACAGAGGTAAAATTACAGGGCCTTGGTGTACGTTCGGGTGTGGTGTTACTACGAGCGATAATTATGAAAAACTCAATTTTAAAATAATATGTTTAACCGACTTCAAAAATGTCATGACAGTATGTTTATTATTTCGACAATTAACTATAATAATTTTGATAATGCTATCTATGACTTTTTGATAGGTAATATTTAAGAGGTGGTTCCAATGAAATATGTTTTGATATGCAAATTTCCATCGCTTATTGCACTCTTCTTTTAATCAAAGATTTCCCGACAAACGCTAGCTCTAAGATAAGGTCCTTATTATATATATTAATCATCTTTCGACATCTTCAGCGACAATTACCGATCCGACCATGCTCACTGTGTAAAAACTGTTAAAAAAAAATTCAAAATTCAATATCGTTTATTCAGTCTAGGCTGTTACAAGCACTTGTGAATGTCGAAAAGCTACGCCATCGGTTCGCAAATCTACGGCGGGAGACCTTGTACTGAGAAGAACCGGCAAGAAACTCAGCAAGGGCTGTTTTTTTCTACCTGTATTGTATACAGAATCGTCAAATTGAAAAATGACTTCAATATGAGGTAACTCATAAAGTCACTTTCCATTACAAATGCTAATATAATAAAAATTATGACTATATAAAAAACTGGTTTAACAAAGTTAAATATATAGAACACCAGGGGGCCAATCGCCTAACGGAAATGCTTTGGAAAACGCTAACGCTTACGATTTTATTTTGTTATTTCTAGCCGCCTGAGGTATTCAAATGCCTCGCGCTCTTTCTTTTTCTTTTGCATTGGTAATAGCAATATTAAAAAAAATGAGCGTGAGGTATTCGAAAACCTCAGGCGGCTAGAAATAACAATATAAAATCGTAAGCGTTAGCGTTTCCCAAAGCATTTCCGTTAGGCGATTGGCCCCCAGATGGAATGAATGACCAAGAAGAAATATATCCGTTTAGTGCAACAGCCTGAGATCTTTTGAAGATGTACGATGAGAACCATCTGAAGAGATCTCCCCTAATGCCCGCCCTCAGAAGTTTCAGTAGCAACATTCTATGATCAATTCGATCAAAGGCCTTCTCATACCCAGTATATGCTGTATCCAATTGCAGACCCTGCTAGCTCGGCCAGGATATAATGGAGTGGTCATAAAAGAAACTGCAGCTTTCGGCTGCTCAGAAAAAAGTGTGGTTTTGTGAAAACGAACGATGCAAGTGAAGCTTTTAAAATCATTATTAATAAAAGTCCTTCCTCGGCTGGGGTTAAAACCGGGGTCGACCACGTAGCAAGCGAGCTTTGTACCACTAGTCCCACAGATGCTGTCTTTTTTAAAACCATTAAAATATAATGCGACATGCTAAAGATGCACGATTTTTTTTTTATTTTTTTTTTATGTTATAGGTGGCATACGAGCAGACGGCTCACCTGATGGTAAGTGATCACCGTCGCCCAGGGACACTTGCAACACCAGGAGTGTCACAAATGCGATGCCGGCCTTTAAGGAAGGAGTACGCTCTTTTTTTCTTTTTTTAAATATATGTACCGATGATTACATCAATATAATAAAGTGAAAAATTTATTAAAGAATTAAACTTTTATTAAAAAGTGAAACTTTTATTAAATAGTTTCACTTTATTGATTTAAAAGTTTCACTTTATTGATCAAACGATGAACATAACTAAGATGCGATTCACTGATGGAAAAGAATGAAAGATCCTTGCACCTTACACTGTGACTCCGCCTTTACAGGCAGTTAACCCACAGCTATCATGCGGTGAATATCATACGTTTTGTTATCTTTTCCGTTTATGAAGACCCATGACATAATTACGTTAGCTCCTGACTGTAAGTATACGGAGGCGTTTCAGTGGGTAATGACTTCATGTACAAACTGTATCATGTTCTTGGGTCATTTAAAAAATAACTGAAAAACTCAACGCGATATACAATATTATTATTGTAGATGAAAACGTATACAGTGACACTGAATTTACTATTTCATTAAAAATAAAATATATAATTAAACTGCAACTAACAGTTAATATGATAAACAAAATCTAATACTATCTTTCACAACAGCAACGATTGGCACGTAAAAAATATATTGCAATTTGGACGAGAAAATCGTAAAATGTTGACGATTTAATAATCTGGTCAAATTAAGTTGACTTTAGTTTTACTAACTGATACGTTTCTAAGGTGCGTTAACAATGTATTTTAATTCTGTGCGCTTTCCCTAAACATTATATTATTATAATAAATTGCAGTTGAACATCATGTAAAGTTTAAGTTGATATAAACCTTAGTTTGTTAGGTCAATTAAAATAATATATACCTAGTCAGGTCATAAATTCTGTCACATGTTTAATATAAAATTGAAACCATTTAAATACCAAAATGAACTTACCAAAACATAGATTCTTATGACAATAAAGTTTATTCAAAATGACCTCCGTGATTTTGAATACAGGCCTTCAATCTGCGCGGCCAGTCGTCTATCGCAGCACTTCAATGTCAATATCGGCGGCTGCCTTAATCAAGGATGTCTTGAGTGACTCCAAATTGGGATGAGGCTTTGAGCACGCCTTTTCCTCCAAGTGTTGCCGTATCTTGTAATCTAATGGACTCAAATCTGGACTGGAGGAGGGCCAGTCTTCGTGCTGGATGAAGTCGATTTCACGCGCCGCCAGCCAGTCTTGTGTGCTCTTCGCTCTATGAGCTGGCGCCGAATCTTGTTGGAATACTCAGTGCCTGTTACTGAACATGGTATGAGAAACAGGTTCCACAAGGTTCGTCAGGACTGTATTTTGATACACAACTGCATTCGTTTTTACACATTTCTCACAAAAATGTACCTCTGTTAAGCCCCAATAAGAAACTCCCAACCATACCATGAGCGAGGATGGAAATGAATCATCATTTTGTTTGTTGCAGCTCTCTTCTACGGTAAAAAAATTTTCATCCGAAAGAAGAATTTCCCGATATTTTTTTCCCGTGTACCGCTTCAACAAAGCGCGGCATCTCTTCAGTCTCAGGTCCATTAGACGAGCATTCCAACGATGTCCTGTTTTTCTTCGATATGCCCGAAACCCTAAGTCTTCATTTAACACCCTTTTCACCCGTGGTTCTGCTTAAACCCATCTGAAGGGTCTACAGTTTCTGCTTACGTTTGGGATTTCTTTGAATTCGCGCCTTCATAGCTTTTATCACTACTGGAGTCCTAACAGACCGAGGGCGACCACTTCTTGACCTGTCATCTACACTAGAGTCTTCATTGTATCGTTTGATGGTACGATAAACGAATCTTTTGGTTATATTCAAACTTTTCAGTATGTCAAAAATTTGAATTGGCGCGTAACCGCAACGATGCAACGCAATAACTGCAACACGGTCTTCTTTAAGCGACCACTCCATATTTAAAAATGAGTAAAATTCTAAAAAGTATACATTTTTATTTTCATGAACAATTCGAAATTTGAATTCAATAAACTTTTTTGTGGCCAGCATTCTAAAGGAAAAGTTTTTACTGTGTGACAATACTTATGACCTAACTGTGTATCACGTCTGAAATCCATGTGACATCAATGGTGTCCAACACATACAGCATTGACGTCAAATCAAAAATAAAACAAATAACTAGCCCAGTCTTTTAGATCAATATAGATTTAAAAGTACTTTTCATCAGAGTGAACTCACATAAACGGATGAGCCCTAAAGCGTATTCAATTTAATTTTACTCGTTAATTGACATTTGTTTGTAATTTGAATCTCGGATCCCTTTCAGTCTCGTGGTCATACGGATACTATAGAAACCTAAAAACGGATAACAAGTTAAATTAAACATACTCTATAAATATTTTCAGAGCTTATATTTGTGTTGAATTCGTTAACCATAGAATCATCTTTGATGTCGTTAATTCAGCGAAATACAATGAAGCAAGGTTTATTGGTAGACAGAAATTGACACTAGACATTAATGTTCTATTTCTAGATATTAATGTAACAAAAATTGACCTAGTTTTTGTTAAATTAATATCTACAAAAGTTTTCCTTGAAACCTAAGGCCAAGAACTCATGGCTCGATTTTCCGCAGCCGCGACGGGCGCGGGACCGCATCTCGCGTAGAATGTAAAATTGTGGGTGAAACGCAAATGCAGAACTCAAGACGCGATTTGCGCCCGCAAAGCGCGCGGGTGTTTGCGGCCCAAGCTACGGGTGCGAGCGGGACGTGATTACCCGCAGATGCAGCAGATTTCACCCTTTTTCGCCATTTATTGCACCGTTTCTTTTCATTGTAGTTTGTGTTCAATTATAAAAAAAAAAATCGTGGTTTTTCTTTCATTTAAAATACGATTAATGATATTAAGGAAAAAACAATCCACATGCTTAACCCTTTCGACGGTCATCATAAAATACATGTGTTTTTTCTTTCACATTTCACGAGTTTGAATTCCGGATTTGGCCGGCGATTTTTGAATACTTTGAATAAATAATAATAATAAATATTTCTGACACTCACACCAATTAGCCTAGCCCCAAAGTAAGCACTATAAGGCTTGTGTTATGGGATGCTAGGGTAACGGATAGAATACATATACTGTACATATATATGTATATTTATATAAATACATATTAAACATCCATGACTGGAGTACAAATGCTCGTATTCATCACACAAACATCTGCCCCCACCAGGATTCGAACCCGGGAGACCTCTCGAGTCGGCGACAGCCATGAAACCCGGCGTACAACCACTCCGCCACGGAGGTCGTCAAATGCAGTTATAGTAATTATTATTAAAAATAAAATGATGTCTTTTTTCAGTAAAATATTCTATCATCAATATTTAATATACTTTCCTTCAATGTGACAAACCCGTAGGACACCCTGTATACATCGACCTTGATAGTACGATAGCAATTGCGGAGTTTTATCAACTTTTGCAAATGACGACCGTGAGATTGGTAGCTAAAATATGAGTAATATTTTTGCTAGTCTAGGTCATGTGTATGTAGACACGCAAAGCAATTAATCCAGGTCGCGGTTGCCCACAACGTTTTTATTACTATATTTTATCATACATGTTTATTGCGCAGTCCGAAAGCTATTGCTGCTGAAAAAGTTACTATAACTATAAAAAGTAACATATTACATATCTTCATAACACACGCAACTCAGGTGAATCTATGCCTATAAAATTTTAAAACTCAGCTGTAAATGATTTATCAAGATTGCGGCTGCGTGGCTAGCACACGCGCCTTTACTTGCTTAAAAGAAATTTTAATGTTGTGTGTTTTAACCCAAGCCGCGCCGTGGCCGCAAGAAAATTTTCGCGCCGTCTAACTGTGGCCTAAAGTAAACGCTTACCAACAAGCTGGCCATTTAAGCTTGCTTACCACCCTATTTACATAAAATACAACTTTTACTAACCTGCAAATGACTCGTAAGTGTTAAATGGTCGGTTTCGATCAACACTCCGCCCCTTTGCTCGTCCAATGGTGTGGTCGTATTGCCTTTATACCATCGCATTGCAGGCTCCGCAGTACCAGGATGAAGGTATAACACAGCACATTTCAAAGACAAAGTCTCGCCGCTTTCAAGGAAAGCCTCTTTGCTCATTCTTATTTCTGGCGCTGCGAACAAAGAACATCCTTAAAAGAAGGTTTTGTGCATAGAATCCTAAGACAAATGTCTCTCTTTCAACGGTAGTGGTTTCTCTATGGCCACTCTTTCTATTCGTTCGAACGATAAGGCCTCCTCCCTTAAGGCGCGTTATTATGAGTCGACAATACCGGAAGTGTGTTTTCGATATTTGTTTTTAGTAAATTATGTATGAGAACGGCTACGAAGTTGCTACTGTTGCGATAATAACGACGCATGTCGTCGAATATCGACCGATAATTGGAGGCTTAATGCTAACGTGAAAGATAAAAAAATAGGCAATAAACAAATTAATAAATTACATATCGTAAGTTTAATGTTTATGAAAATTTTAATTTATTACTAGCTTGTGATAGCGCTCAAGGGGTCAAGATTGAAACATAAAATAGATTTTCGTTTCTGATCGGTAATAATACGTCTTTCAATCTTGACCCGCCCGACATCCAAATCATGAATCAGATATTTTTTTTTTATTTTTAGTTCTATTTACGATTTTGAAGCCGGTTTTAGTTTTTGTTTAATTTTTTTTTTACTTCATCCGTTTTAGTGAAAATTACATCGTCCGAGTAAACAATAACACAATTGACGGAGAAATCGGTGAAAATGCATAAAAAACATCGTGCATGCCTTTGAAATTTGAAGGTTTCCCTCGATTTCCCCAGATTCCACCATCAGATCCTGACTTGGTTCCAATGGGACCACCTCGGAATAGCAGAATAAAAAAATGGAAATCGGTCCACAATCGACGGAGAAATCGGTGAACATACATAAAAATATATATATACAGAACCTCCTCCTTTTTTGAAGTCGGTTAAAAAGCCTCGTAATAGATTATATAATAATAATAATAATAATAATTTATTGAAAAGTAAAGTTTACAATTATATTAAACAATTTTAAGTTTACAACATTGAAATTATTATAAAGTTACCTACGGCTTCCACACTAGGACATGCCTGTATTGTGGCGACCGGACAAAATAAATAAATAAACAAAATTACGATTTTTACTAGCGCTTAGATTATATAAAACTTTTTATTAGTAATTTATATTCATGCAAATAAGTGCGTCTGTGTTTTAGTGTACGTGTTTTTTGTGTGTGTGGGTGGGTGTGTGGGTGTGTGTGTGGTGTGTGTGTGGTGTGTGTGTGTGTGTGTGTGTGTGTGTGTGCATGCATTATGTGTATTTGGGCATCCATGACTGTTACTGGGTGATTTTCAAAAGATTTTCTGTTTCCGTATATGACAGTGTTAAAAGCCATTTTAGGACCTTAGACTTAGCGTGAGCTATAGTGCAAGTTTTTACATCACATTTACGAGTTACTAAGTTGTAGATGAAGGGTTGTTTGAAGGCGAGATGTGATCGTGCAAATGCGGTTTTGACATAGGTTAGAGGTACACGAAAAATTCTCTTTCGTGTCGGGTCAGTGTAGGCAGGGGAACTAAGTGCATCCCGGTGACCTAGTGTGAACACCTTGAGAATGTAGACCTGTCTAACGTTCAAAACAGCAGCCTCTCTGTACAGGTCCAAAGTGGGGAAGAGAAAGTGTTTCCTCAACATTACTTTCAAAACGGATCGCTGTGCTCTTTCCACACGTATCATCAGGGTGACACCGACTCCTCCCCATACCGAGATGCAGTAGCTTAGAATAGATTGACATAATGTCATGTATACAGTGGTAAGGAGTCTTCTATCAGCTGAGTTTCGCAGAAGGCGAAATATATATGCATGTTTCCTGATTCTCTTTGAAAGCGAAGCTATATGTTGCCTGAATGTGAGTTTATCATCAATCTCAATCCCCAGATACTTTACAGTATCAGATCGTGTTATGGGAAAACAAGCACAGTGTGATACATTGCATTGGTGGATTTTTATCTTTAAAGACCCCGGTCTCGTCGAACAAGTTTTGTGGAAGCATAAGTACTTTGTTTTAGTAAGGTTCATCGAAAGGAGATTATTATTTAACCATTCATTAATATTGGACATACCCAGCTCTGTAGATTGCTCTGTTTCCTCCCAAGTTTTTCCTTCAAATATCACTACCGTATCGTCAGCATAACAAATTATTTTTGCTGAGCCCGTGACGGTTTCGTGAATGTCATTCATATAAACGTTAAACAAGGTTGGCCCCAAAACACTTCCCTGCGGTACCCCGAAGGAGATTGATTTCTTATCGCTTATGTTGTTGCTAATTTTTACCCTTTGAGATCGATCAGTGAGGTAGCTATGGAACCAGTCAAGTGCTAAGCCTCTGATGCCACACGCTTCTAGTTTTTTCAGCAGTATAGGGACAGAAATGGTGTCGAATGCTTTTTTTATGTCAATGAAAATTCCTAAGCATTTTTGTCCTTTATCTAGGCACTCGGATACACTTTTAGTGAAGAGTCCCACTGCGTCTTCGGTAGAACATTTACGCCTAAATCCAAACTGGTGGTCCGAAATGAGGTCAAAACCTTCAAGGTAAGTCGTGAGTCTCTTGTTAACTATTTTCTCCAACATTTTAGAGAAGATATTAAGCAGCGATATCGGTCTGAAATTTGATGGGACCGTTTTTGGTCCAGACTTGTGTATTGGGACGACATGTGCTTCCTTCCATTGAGGTGGAAAGGTTCCAGTAGACAAGCTAAGGTTGAATATATGTGTTAAGGGCGGTAGTATTGATGTTTTTATGTGTTTTATTAAAGTAAGATTAATACCATCCGGTCCTGGTGCACTATCTTGTCTAAGCTGCATAATATCGAAAAAAAGACGTAATGCCGGCACTTCACTTAGCTGTTCGTGTTTGCTTTTTGTAAACTTGACATCAGTATGTCATAAATTTTAAGCATATAACTGCTCGACGTTTAAATATAAAGAAAATATTAATAAACATTTTCATTTTCAATATGTTATTTTCATTTTTTACTAAGCATGATAAGGACAGACTGCTGTCAAGTTTACAATTAGCAAATATGTATAGCAAAGTAAATTGTCGGCATAAGACGCACACTGGGCGCGGACATTTATGTCCCTTCCACGTCTTTTTCACACAAATCGTATATAAACGTCGCATCACATAACATACAGAAAAGACAGGATGCGGACAAGATGCTTCTTTTGTTGTTTTTCTATATCCCGCGCCTAAGGCGCTAGGAAGCGAATGCTATTTTGTAAGAGGACATTTAAGAAATTTTATTATTTTCTTTGTGATTACTACTTTTTTTTGGAAGGAGAAGAAAAGTTTTGACTCAATTTAGTACAAAATATTTCTTGACATAAACAGCGGGCCCGTCGCCGCTCCAGTGCTTGTTTGTTCTATCGCAATTACAGCAAGAAAATTAAATCTTTAAGCAGTTTTATTATTTTTTAAATTTCAACCCATGTCGGTCAAAGAATATTAATAACTTTTTTATTTGAAAATAACATTAAAGTAATTTGAATTTTATTAGTAACACGTAATGAAAAATTTGTGCTTGTATTTTCTATCTCTATTTATACTAGATCGTAAGAGAATTTCAGTGCTTGGGTGTTCTATGTCCACCAATCGACCAATCACAGGCCGCTACGCCATGGCAGCCATTTTGTTTACCGGGTCACTGTGAGTGAAGATATCATGAGAGTCCCAGTTACTTACAAATAAACATTGAAATCATCTGTAACTAATGTGTTTTTGTGCTGTATTGACTAAGCAAATGTCAAATTATGTCTGGGACATTATTGTAAAACTGTATATGATCATTATAGCTATTAACGGGATTGTTACCATGTACCTTGTTTTTTATGAGTCTCCGATATTTCGGCCCTGTTGCAAGCGCCATGATCACGGAGTAACTGAAGTAATTGCGGGTAGATGTTAAAACAATATGTATATGTTAAGACGTAAAAAATAAAACACTAAATATACATTTTAGTTTAATCTCAGTTCAGTTTTCTATGTGGTACAAGGTACAGGTGTTGTTTTTCAATGACTTCAAACAACAACAAGAGTGCAGAAGGTCTGTATTGATTCTATTTCTCTCTTTTTCTCTTTTTCCGTCGAAAGTATGGGGGTTCATGGGGGAGGGTTAATTTAATTAAAAAAAGTCAATTACATGATAATTTTATAAGTTACGTTATACCTTATTTTGCGACCAAAAGGACAATGGCGCTCTCCCATACAATTTTTTTTTGAATTTTTTTTTTGCCTCCATAAATGAATTGTATGTTGAATTATAGAGTTAAGATTCTCTAATTGATTTGTCTTATTTGTTTTATTATAGGAAGTCTGGATTTATAGATATTCTACTTTGAAGTTTTGGAGGTTATGTTATACCAAGTGGTACAAAAACGAATTATAAAAGTATTTTCAAGTATATTTTTATATACCTATAGAAGTATACCAGTCCCGTAGATTAGTGACGAAAAAAAATGTTTTTTATAATGTATGATCAGTGCGCGTATGTACTGACAAACCGCGTCAAAATAGTTACTTATTAATACATAACATACAAGGGTTATTGATTTCCAATACAATGACTGTGCTGTAAGAAGTACTTAACAATTTGAAAATGCTCACAGCAATAATAAAGTATAAAAAAGGATTTCTAATAGTATACTAATGGGATATTAATTAAATATGAAACACTTATTATACATTGTTATTCCACATCTTTGATCACAATATCGTAGATAGTAGATACAATGAAATAAAATCCATAGTATGGGACATAATCCACAGCAAAAAGTCGTCCAAAATATCAGATTCGGAAGTCTTAGGCAAGCACTCCTCAACAGTCGCAGGGAAGATTTCGAAAGTCTAAATGCAGTCCATGTCACATAAAAAAACACAATACGCCGATTTAAATCTTTGCAATACGCATGTAGTTATGCACAAGCTACGAAACTGATAACAATAACAACAACAATTCGATGACAAACATGACAGTGACAGTTATAGTTTATTGCGTTAGAATTGGCTTTTTGTATTGTGGAGATATTTATTATGGTTCCATTA